CATAAAAACAAGATATTGTACACATTGAGTACCATTTGAGTTTTTGATATGTGTATACATTATGTAATGTTTAAATCAGTTAAAGCATATCGGGGGCTGGGGATTTAGCTCAGCGGCAAAGCGCCTGCCTGGCAAGCGCAAGGTCGTGAGTTCGGTTCCCGGTACCGGAGAAAAACCAAAAAAAAAGAAAAAAAAAAAAAATACGACATCATGGAGCCAGAGCAAGACCAGATAATCAGGTGCGCAGAGGGCGTCTTTTACACCTACTACTGCAAAAAGGATACGTGAAAGTCCTTTCTCCAATCATTTTGAAGTAGACGCTGCAGTATATTTTAATATTTCTACCATCTTCTGGAAGTTTATAGCCATACTATAAATTAAGCACAAAATTTAAATCAATTTAGAGAAAGCTAAGCAGTGAAATTACAAGAAACAAAATCAAATAACTTCTAATGTAGTATATATTTCTGTTCCTACCAAGTCATCCCAGTGCATCTGGAAATCTTTGAATGAGTGAAATGGACAGTCAGCGGGTGAGGCATGAAGAATATTTATTATTTGTCCCATTTTCATACTATGAAAAATGAAAGTTTGTAAAATATTAAGGGTCAATGCTTAAATACAGTTTGATAAGTTAACTATCTGATTTAGAAAGTATTCAAAAAGACCTAGCAACCATCTCACTGTATATAAATGAATCATTTGCTCTTAGTTCCAAATAAACACTGTATTGACTCTTTTGCCCTAATTAACAAATAAGTTACATATATTTACCTTCCATAAGATGTTTTGAAATACACATACACTGTGGGATAGCTAGATCAAGCTAATTAACATATGTACTACCTCATATATGTACAATTTGTGGTGAGAATACTTAAAATCTGTGACTTTCAAGAATAAAATATAATGTTATTATCTATAATTACCACGTTGTACAATAGATTTCTTCAATTTATTCTTCCTAATTTTTTTTTTTCTTGTCTTTTTGAGACAGGGTCTCGCTATGCAGTTCAGGCTGACCTTGAGCTCACTTTGTAGCCTAGGCTGGTCTCTAACTCGCAACAATCCTCCTGCCTCAGCCTCTCTAGTGCTGGGATTACAGGCCTGCGCCACCACGCCCAGCCTTTCCTTTCTAATTAAAATTCTGTATCCATTGGCCAACACTCCCTACTCTACCTTCTCACCCCTATCCAAGCCTTTGATAATTAGTAGTCTACTCTATTTTTATGAGATTAATTTTTTAGATTCCTTGTATGAGATCAGATTGTCTTTGTCTTTCTACCTGGGCTTATTTCCTTTAATATACTACCTTCCAGGCTCATCTATGTTGTCGCAAAATGACAGGATTTCTGTCTGTGTTAAGGCTGAATTGTATCCTGTTGTCTATATGTACCAGATTTTCTTAATCTGCTTCACAATTGATGAACAACTGAGATATGTTGTATCCACATCTCCCATACTGTGAATAATACCACAATGGATATGGGAAGGCAGATAGCTTTCTGACACATTAATTTCATTTCCTTTGGAACCCAGTAATGGATTCCTGCATCATATGGTAGTTCTATTTTTAAATTCTTGAGGACCCTCCATACTGTTTTCCAAAATGGCCAGAGTACTGTTCAACCAAAGTGTGCCAGAGTTCTTTCCTCCATATCCTGACATTTATTTTTTGCCTTTTTGATAATAGCTATTCTAACAGAATGAGGTGATATCCCATTGTGATTTTAACTTGCATTTTCCAAATGATTAGTGATAGTGAACATTTTTTATATGTTTATTGGTGATTTGTATGTTTTCTGTCAAATGTCTTGAGTTCTTCGTCCATTTGAAAACCAGATTATGTGCTTGCTTGCTTTCTCTTCTCTCTCTCTCTCTCCCTCTCTCCCACCTGTCTCTCTCTGACAGCTTTATTGGAAATAAGAACTGCATTTCCAGAAGGGGTTCCAAGGGAGTGGCCACTGAGGCTCTTTGTCATGGGCAGTAATTTATAAAGCAAAACCACAATATGGGTACAAGGTGGGCCAGACTACAATCCACCTACATGGACTGTAATAAGTATAGTTGCTTAGCTAATATTGATCTAATAAGGAAATAAAGCATGAAGCAAGGGTATGTGGAAAGAACAAAGGCATTCTTGGAAAGGGAGGGGAGTATGGGTTCAGACATTCTAGACCCATTTATGTGTCTGATGCCTATTGGATCCCACTGGACCAGGTGGTGCTAGTTACAGTATAACCTCAAGTTGCTGTTCCTCTCTAGGGAGGCCTGCAGGCTTGGCTATTGTATCTCCATCCTGAGGACTGGCTCACTTTTCAAGCCAAAATTCTGATGTCTTTATTTATTTATTTTTTCCTTTGTGCCTAATATACAGTTAGAGAGGGACTGGGCCTCCCTCAATAGCCCAATCTCTCCCTGACTGTATATTAATTCCTAATATAGCTGTCTATAATATTGGAAGGTGCTGAGGACTTTTACAAGGTGGGTCCTTGTAGTAAGTCCATATGTCATTATGGGTTTGTCCTTGAAAAGCCTGGTGGGACCCTGTCAGTCATATCTCTGCTTTCTGGTTTAAGATATGACACATGCTCTGACATACACTCCTGCCATTGCCACCCCCCACTTTCACAGATGCCATACTAATACCCACCCTAATTTTGGATTTTGAATTTCCAAAAGTGTGAGCTAAATAATCATAAGTCTTTTCTCCGTAAGTCACCTGTCTCAGGCATTTCATTGTAGTCATGCAAAGCTGACTAATAACAGCATCTTTGCATTCAATATATGAAGATCAGTCAATTGAATACACCACACTAACAAATGGGAGGAAAAATGACACAATCATTTCAACTTATGTAGAAAAAAAACTTGACAAAATTCAATCCCCTTTCATTATTTAAAAAACCAGTCAACTAAGAACAGAAAAAGACTACCTCAACGTGATAATGACATACAGGGGAAATTGCACCTCTAACATAATGGTAAAAGACTTAAAGCTTTTCTTCTAAGATCAAGAAGATGAAAATACCCACTTCTAGCATTTGCATTCAATATAGTCCTGGAAGTTCTGGCCAGGGTAAATAGGTAAGGAAAAATAAATAAATAAAAAACATCCAAATTGGAAAGGAAAAAGTTAAAGTATCTCTGTTCACAAATGATATCTTATATGTACAAAATTCTAAAAATTCCACAAAAATCTGTTAGAACAAAAAAATAAATTCAGCCAGGCATGGTTGTGCACATCTGTAATCCATGAGTTCTAGGCCAGGATGGATTCTACAGTGAATTCAAGGCCAGTTGAACTACATAATGAGACCTTGTCTCAAAAAACAAAACAAAACACACCTAAAAAACCAAACTTGTACAATGAGGGCTGGGGACATAGCTCAGCAGCACAAGTGCCTACCTACCAAGCCCAAGGCCCTGGATTTGATTCCTGATACCAAAGAAAAGAAAATATTTGCAATCATATATCTGGTAAGGGGTTAATACTTAGGAAACATGAAGAACTCCTAGAACTTGACAACAACAAAAGATATCCTGTTTTAAAAAGGACAATAGTGGGCTGGGGATATAGCTCAGTGGTATAAGCACCTGCCTGGCGAGCGCAAGGTCGTGAGTTTGATCCCCGATACCACAAAAAAAATAAATAAATAAATAAAAAGGACAATAGCAGCTGCAGCTAATATTACTGGGTAGTCTCCTAAACAACAACAAAAATGGTGACAAAGTTTATTTGAAAAAGTAAAAGTGAACAGTCAGGGAGAAACCGACTCTGCAGAGTGAGCTTGAGTCAAGAGGAAAAAGCAAGATAAAAGTACACCCTGGAGGACACAGAGAAGGCTATCAGGAAAGCCAAGATAGCTGGGTTATTTGGGTTTTTGCTACTGAGGTAAGTTCCTTATATATTTTGGATACTAACTCTGTTATGGGTTGAATGTCCCCTCCTAAACTCATGTTGAAATTTAATTACTATTGTAACAGTTTTAAAAAGGACTTTAAAAGGGTTCTCATGAATGGATTAATACTATTATCTCAGAATGGGTTGCTTAAAAGAGAGTGAATCTGGCTCACTTTTATGTGTATGTTTCTCATTCTCTTCCCATTATACCACTGAATGATCCAGCAAGAATTCTCTCATTGGGCACTAAATATCCTGCTCCTTTTGTTACCAGGTTTTAGGGTGCTGGCATCTCCTTCTGCAGTGGTTTCCAGGCTATTTCCATCTCAAAGAATTGAATGAAAAAAGCAAAAACAGTGGCAAAGTTTAACATTTGAAAAATTAAAAGTGAAGGCTAAGGTGCCAAGTGTGGTGGCACACACCTGTAATCCTAGCACTCAGAAGCCTGAGGTACTGCCATAAGGTCTAGGCCAGCCTGGGCTACATAATGAGTTCAAGCCCAGCCTGAAATGCATAATGAGACCCTGTCTCAAAAAAAGAAAAAAGAAGTGAAGGGAAAGGGAGAAACTGGCTTTGCAGAGTGAACTTGGGCCAAGTAAAAGACAGGAAAAGATAAAAATAAAAATAAATGTACACCCTAGAGAATATGGGGTAGGCTAAAGTGAGATGGCATGTTACTGAGCTTTCAATGGCATCCCATTTTTTTATTCATTCTACACATCGTGGGCCCTCATGAGAAGTCCACATATGGGGTCCTGAAAATTATTTAGTGCATCTGTCCCAGGATCTGATCACGCCCCACTTCCCTTAGTCACTTCTGACAATCTCCTGCTTTCCTGCCTCATTTTGATCTTGTAATTTCAAGACTCCAGACTTGTGAGAAATAAATTTTTGTTACAAATTACCTAATTTTCGGTATTATATTAAAGCAAAAGGAGATTAAGACAAACCCTTATCAGATTAATGGTTTACAAATATTTTCTCCTGCTCATAGATTGTTTCTTTTTTAATTGTCCTTTGCTATGTAGAAGCTCTTTAGTTTGATATAGTGTTATTCATTTATTTTTACTTGATATTTTAACTTTTAGGATCATACCACCCAGACCAATGTCATAATGCTTTTTTCCAGTACATTTTGCTCCAGTAGTTCAACAATTTCAGGTCTTAATTTCAATCTTGAATCCATCCTGTGTTAATTTTTGTACATGGTATGAGATAAGCACTTAATTTCATTCTTCTGTATATGGATATACAATTTTCCCAACATCATTTATTGAAAAGATCATCCTCCTTTTTCCATCACATGTTTCTAGCAACTTTGTTGAAAATCAGTTACTCATCAAAGTGTGAATTGATTCCTGAGTTCTCTATTCTGTTCCATTGGTCTATGTGTCTACATTAATGTCAGTACCATACTCTTTCCATTACTATAGTTTTATAACATACTTTGCAGTCAGAGAATGTCATGCTTCTAGCTTTATTCTTTCCTCAAGACTACTTTGGCTATTTGGGATCTGGTTTTATGGTTTTAAACAAATTTAATGGTTTTAAACAAATTTTTTTTACACTTCTCCCCCTATTTCTGTGAATAATATGGACATATTTATGGGGCTTGCATGAATCTGTGATTGCTATGGGTAGTATGAACATTTTAACAATTAGAATTTTTTCAAAAGGGTACTGGGTTATCTCTCCAATTATCTGTATCTTTAATTTCTTTCATCAGTGTTTTATACTTCTCAGTGTATAGATCTTTTACTTTCTTGGTTAAACCTATTCTTAAAGATTTTTTTCAGTTTATTTTTATTTTTATTTTTTAAAAATAAAGGCAGACAATTTATTTGAAGGGTGGGAAAGGGGGAACAGGGAGAGACAGAGAAAGGGAGGGAGGGAGACAGAGAGAGAAAGAGAGGGAGGGGAGAGAGAGAGACAGACAGACGGACATGGCAGACAGCTACCCTGGATGAGAAGGGAGCATTCAAAAAAGAAATACTCCAATTTTTTTTTATTAGCACATGTTCACAGTGCATAATGATTACATTCCTTTTGGGGAGTTGGTATATGTATAGAATACATCTGATTTTATTTTTTCATCCCCTTTTATTACTCAGGATTTTTTTTTCTTTTGGCAGCTACTGTGAATGGGGTTGTTTTCCTGATTTATTTTCAGACAGTTGTTAGGATACAGAAGTACTACTGATTTTTGTATTTTTGGTGGAGTGTTTAGGATGTTGTAGATATAAACAATCAAATCATCAGCAAACATGGACAATTTAACTCCTTTCTCTCAATTTGGATTTTCTCTATTGTTTGGTTTTGTTTTTTTGTTTTTTTGAGACAGGGTCTCACTATGTAGTTCAGACTGGCCTCAAACTCATGGCAGTTCTCCTGAGCACTAGGATTACAGGTGAGGGCTGGGACTACAGGCATACACCACCATGCCCACCAATCTAGGTTCCTTTCATTTCTTTCTCTTGCCTAATTGCAGACAAGGACTTTCAGTACTGTGACAAATACAAGTGATGAAAGTGAGCATTCTTGTCTTGTTCCTGATTTTTAGAGGAAAAGCTTTCAACTTTTCACTGTTGAGAATGAAGTTAGCTATGAACTTGTCATATATAGCCTTTATTTATATTAAATCTTAACAAGTGCAATTACTAGGAAAACCAAATTGAGTTGAGGCAAACAATGTGTCAATTATAAATATAAATATAAAATAATGACTAACAAAAGATGGTCACATTAAAGTTTGTCTAGTAATTATCAGACTTTAAGGAAAAGTCTATTAAGAATTGAAGAAATCACATCAGTTTCTTAACTATTATTCTCTGCTTCAGTGTTTAACTATGTGTATGTTACTAGTTAATTAAAGTTAATTTTCCTGAGCAAGTTATAATTTTATCTCAATAGTTATATTCTTTGAAGAGAATATAAATAAAACTCAGCTCATATAAAATTATAATGGATCATTATTAGGTACAAATTTATAAAGCTTTCATTTCATAATTATAACAGTTATAATGAGAAATCTAGAAATTTTACTATTGTTTGAAAGTAAAACTAATAAAAAATGTAAATGTATAATAAAATTATCTTAGTAATAAAGGAAATGTATAGCTTCTGGAATTATGATAATATTATTCCAATATGTTTTTAAACTTATAATTTGATTTTTAAAATTAATCAAAATGATCTATACTTATGCATATATCAATGTTAAGGAAGCAAAGTAAGAAAAAACTCCTATACTTTGAACTCATAGTAGACATTACAAACTTAAATCTTACCTTGGCAAAATGTAGCACCAGTTGCTCAAAATAGAATGTCTTTCAATGACAGCAGTCTTATTAGTATGAAAATTCTCTATAGTACTCTCAGAAATATCAAATTCTTTTAGCTTTAATTGAAATAAGATTTTAAAATGTAAGTCATCAAAGAGTTTGTCAAAGAAAAAGAGATATTAAAATACTTATCTTTACATGCATAGAGTTGTATTTTTAAAGATTTAAGTTTTACCGAATTACATATAAATATTACATATATACATGCATATATGTATGTCATGATTAATATTTCTCTTTTGGAGGGGTCATTTTGAGACAGGATCTCACTATGCAGTTCAGGCCGGCCTTGAGCTCACTTTGTAGCCCAGGCTGGCCTTGAACTTGCAATGATCCTCCTGCCTCAGCCTCCCGAGTGCTGGGATTACAGCCGTGCACCACCATGCCTGGCTTATGATCAGTGTTTCAGCACACTATGTTTGTCCTTTCTATACAGTTTGAAGTATTTCATGCTTTTCTTTTAGCTGAGTCTTTTTTGCGGGGGTTACTGGGAGTCAAACTCAGGACCTTGTGCTTGCCAGGCAGGTACTTGTTTCCTTTTTATTCTCCAAACCAAAATTCCTATTTTGTACCTAATGCCAATCAGTTTTCCGTTTTTTGTTATGTTAATTTATAAGAAGTTAAATCACTTCTCAAAGGTTTTTTTGTTTTGTTTTGGTTTTGGTTTTTTCTTTTTTGCTTTTTTGAGACAGGGTCTTCCTATGCAGTTCAGGCTAGTGTTGCACTCACTTTGTAGCCCAGGCTGGCCTCAAACTCACAACAATTCTCCTGCCTCAGCCTCCCGAGTGCTGGGATAACACGTGTGCGCCACCACACCTGGCAGGTTTTTATATTTTATAGAACAGCTTCTTTTTTTACTGGTATATGTTTGCAATACAGAATATTTACATTAATTTTGGGGAATTATTACATGTATGTCTTGATAATGTTTTTTTTGAAACAGGGGCTCACTCAGGCAGACCTTGAACTCACCACATAAGCCAGGTTAGCCCTGAACTCATGGCAGTCCTCTTGCCTCAGCTTCCAGAGTGCTGGGATTATAGGTGTGTACCACCACACCTGGTTTATTTTGATGAATTTTGATTCCCCTTTTCCCCAAACTTTTCCTTCTTCTGATCTCCTTCCCCATCTCTAAAAAAGTCTACCTTTACTTTACTCTTTATTTATATTTTGGGTTTCTTAGAGAAATCACACAAAATTTAACTTTCTGTGTGAATTTCTTCAATTAATATTCTTTTGTTATTTTAAAGAGAATAAAAAAAAGATACAGAATTTAAAAACAAGATGATGGGAAATTAATAATGACTGTTAGATTGCATATTGTTATCTTTAAAGTTGCTGTTCAGATTACCAGATATAAGCATGCAAAATTGATCAATTAAGCATTAACTGTTCCTTTCAATAAACCAAGAGAAATTAGTACAATTATCTTAGCTATCTTATGTACATATATTTTTTTTCCTTCCTTCTTTCTTTCTTTTCTCCTTTCCCTCATTCTAGCTGTTCTTTCCTTTTGAGCAGTTTCTTTCCCTTTCACAATATCTACTGTACCTTTTGGATCTTACTCTTTCAGTTTCTTACGTTAGGGAAACAATATGATGTTTACACACATGGGTCTAATTTATTTCACTTATGAGTATGGTCTCTAGTTGCATCCATTTACCTATAAAAGCCTCGAGTTTATCTTTCTTTATAGCTGAATAATACTCCACTAATATTCTTATCTTACTTCCACTCCATTTTCCTACCTTCATCCAGCTTTAATCCCTAATAAAATTCTTTTGTGTGTATATATGCCACATTTTCTTTATCCATTCATCCACTGATTGTTATTTAGTCTGTTTTTAGAGCTTCACCATTGTGAATTGCACTTCCATAAACATGGGTATGCAAGTATCACTATAGTATAATGTCTTTAACTCCTTTGGGAATATACTGAGAAGTATAGATGTATCAAATGGAATTTCCATTTTTAGTTTCTTCAGAAATCACAATACTAATTCCCATAGTAGTTGTCCTAGTTTACCCTCCTACCATCAGTGTAAAAGGGCTCCTTTTTTCCCACATCCTCACCAGCATTTGTTGGTTTTTGTGAAGAATAGCTTCTTAAATTTTAGACTCTGTATTTTTAAGTGAACATAAGGAAGTTTACTTCTACCTGATCTTTTAGAGGGAAGATGACAGCACTAATGCTCAATTTACCTTTTATATTCCCTTTCTGACTCTTAGAATTCTGTTCTCCTACTTGGGCATGGTGGCACATGCCTGTAATTCCAGCATTCTGGACGCTGAGGCAGGAGGATGGCTGCAAGTTTGAGGCCAGCCTGGACTACACAGAGAGACACTGCCTCAAAAAAAACCAACCAAACAAACAAAAAAGATTTCTCTTTTCCTATTCCTCAAGTTTCCTATCTATGTGGTATTTCAGCTTATACATGCCAATAAGAATTTGCTACTCACATACAGTTCTCTCACTGTGCAGTCTCCTGGGATACATTTTCTAATAGATATGAGAGGCCTCAAGTGCGGTATTAATGGGCAAAAGGACACTATATTAAAATTAGAAAGAATGGCCACAATTCTTCATCCCTTTTAATGCTTTAGCATCTTCTGGGAAACAATATTCTATTTGTCTCTTTACTGGGGCTTGCACAGGAACTCCACTTTTTACTGCTTGCAAAATTCATTAGAATTTCAATGATATACTTGCTTAAAACATTGGCCACACTCTGACTTGACTGTTATCGGCCAGTCTTACAGGTCTAAATCAAAGCTCATCTCCTCTACAACCAGTGGCTGACCCTTCTCAGAGTTTCTAAGACCCTTCCTAATGCTACAGAGACAGAAACAGAGGGAGAAATATGAGAGTATACAAGATCACTCAGATGAGATAAGGATATATAGCGTCCTGTATATATGAAGTAAATCTTCTGCTATAATGTATTATGCTTAAGGGATCAGTTGCTGCCATGTTGGGTGGTGTATGTCCAGTACTCAGGAGGCTGAATCAGGGGGTTTGTCAGAAGTATGAGGCCAGGAATGACACTATCACTTCCTCACTGTGATAAACCAAACTGCCTATAGACATTGGCAAGTGATTCATAGGAAGCAAAATCATTCTTTCCCCCTTCTATCTCCTTCTGTTGGAAACTACTGGTATAAAGGGGAAAAAAGATATTTAATGTGTGACTACTAATGTGTAAGGAAGACTCTACACCAGGTATCACGGGAAAAAGTAAAATAGAAGATATAACTTTCCACAAATGAGATAGAAAGTACTATGTACAAAGAGAAAAAAATGCTATCAAAAAGGGTCGGGGGTGAACATTACACTCAGTGGGAGTTGAAACTGTGCTTTTAACATTTAGAGATAAAAGAAGAGGCAAGAAGTAGGTGCTGAGACAGGGTAAGGCTATAGAATTTTGGAGACCACAAAGAGGTTTTTGGATAAGGAATAATATGGTAAGACCTGTGTTAAAAGAATAGACTATCTTCTTTTGAGAAGCTTTAGAACAATATACATAAATATATCAAGAATTTAGTGGTACGACCTTCAATAACAAAAATCTTCCTAACATTCTGTGTTGAAAATGAAAATCTAATAGCATATTAGTAATAAAAATATGCATTAAGCATGTAGTGAATACAGTAAATTATGGAAATCAAGTATGTGGTACCTCAGGTGGTGGCAGTCTGACAGTGCAAACTTCTATACTCAGACAAACTTGAGTTTCTGTTACATTGATGTCTAACACTGAAAAAAAAAAATTAACATTAACTGTCTAGAATTACTACTATATCAAGCCAAATAATTTAGTAAAAACTATTTTACTAAAGTTAGAAACTAAGTGAAGAATATTTTACAAAGTAAAATTTAAATGATTATATAATATTTGACAGTCTACAGATATCTAAAAGACAAAGGTATGAAACAAAATGGACATGTGTGAGGGAAATCACAAGACAGAGTTATAATAAAAAAATAAGACTGTACAGTTCAGAAAATCTAACAAATACCTTGTATCAGTCTGATATCCATTATATATTAGAAATAGATAATGTCCTCTTTTAAAGTTAGGAGAGGTCTCACAGTAGGCCTCTGACTTGAATAGTTTTTTGTTGTTTTGCTTCTTTTTTTGTCTTTTTGAGACAAGGTTTCACTATGTAGTTCAGGCTAGTCTGCTTTGTAGCACAGGCTGGTCTTGAACTCACAGTGATCCTCCTGCCTTAGACTCTGGAGTGCTGGGATTACAGGTGTGCACCATCACGCCCAGCTTTTGAACAGTCTTTTACTAGCAAATTTCCTCAAATATATTGGCAGATAATTGTAGGTCTCCTTACTTTTTCATAAATATTTCTGACAAGTCAGGATAATAGTGGCTTTGGAAAGGACTCCTATCTGAGGAAAGTTGTAGTGTTTTAAATATGAAATGTTCCCCCAAAGACTCCTCTATTGCGAGTTTGATCTCCAACACAGTAATGTTCAGAGGTGGGGCCTAGAGTGGTGACTGGATCACAAGGGCACTAACCTCGTCAGGGAGTAACCCACGGATGAGTTCCAAGGGGCTAATAAGGGGTGAGGCCCACTTGAAGGAAGTGTGCATCACATGTCTCTGAAAATATGTTCTTTTTTTTTTTTTTTTGGTTTTTCTTCAGTACCGGGAACCAAACTCATGACCTTGCGCTTGCCAGGCAGGCGCTTTTGCCGCTGAGCTAAATCCCCAGCCCTGAAAATATGTTCTTGTACTCAACTCCTTCCTCTTCCTTGGGCTCTTTCCCTGTCACTCTGCTTCCTGGCTGCCATAAGGTAAACCACTATTATCTACAACAGGATTCCCATTTGTCTCCTACTTCAGTATAACATAATCATCAAGATTGTAACAACCCAATGATCTATAACATCATTTTTAAACAACTGTTAATTATATTAACATCTTATCTATTGACTTTTATACTTTTACTTACCAACAGCACTTTGCTTTCCCATCTGAGAAAGAAAATCTTTTCCTTAAAAAGAGTATAAAATTGCAAAGTTTAACTCAAATAATTATGCTTAATGAATATAACTTTTGATAAGAAATTATCAAAGCAAAGGAAAAATAAAATAAACTTATATAAAGGAGTATCTTATGACTAAGAAAAAATATAGTAAGTGAAATAATATCTCTTCAACTAAAAGGATAAAAATATCTAATTCTTTCCTCACAAATTTATCTCCTGTTATGAAATAACTAGAAAACTATCAGATTTCAACAAAAATTCAGGATGGCCTTTGATTCCAGCAATATTCACACAATGTGTGTTCTTTTTATCATAATATTTCATAATAGGTTTATCTTTAAGGATCAAATATTATACAATAAAAAGGTTTCTTTAGCCAGGCATAGCGAGGTGTGCCTGTAATGCCAAATGCCAGTGTACTGGAAGGCTGAGGCAAAAGGATTACAAATTGGAGCTCAATCTGAGCAATTTAGCAAGACCCTGCCTCATAAAAATATAAAAATAATAAAATAAATAGGGCTAGAGGGCCAGGAATATAGCTCAGCAGCACAAGCATCTGCCTAACAAGTGCAAGGTCCTGAGTTTGATTCCCAATGTCCAAAAAAACATGGTTGGGGATGTAGCTCAGTGCAAAGGCCCTGGGTTCAATCTCCAGTACTGAGAAAATTTAAAAGAATAAAAGGGGGGCTGGGGATATAGCTCAGTGGCATAAGTGCCAGCCTGGCAAGCGCAAGGTCATGAGTTCAATCCCCTGTACCGCAAAAAAAAAAAGAAAAAAAAAAAAAAGAATAAAAGGGGATTTTCTTAAACATCAGCAGGCATATATATGCAATCCCAAAGTAAGGAGATGATATATATGTTGCAGACTTGCTTAGGAACATTTAGTTGCGGTTGTTCTAAGAATGATTCCCTAAAAATGAGATGCCTTAAAAACAGGTGTACATAATAGAAGTAATCTACCATAAAAAAAGTCCCAGTGATGATAGAGGTAAAGTTACCTTGTACTAAGAGATGGCCAACTCGATTCCAGGCTGGAGCAAGTCTAGCCATGAGTGAATATGAAATGCAGTTCTGAAGAATTACAGGAATTACTTTTTGTGGAGCCTCCACCTAAAAATATTAAAGAGCAAAATATAGGCAAACTTAGAGCAACCTCCCTATTGTCTTACAGGAAAAATTTGCATGTTTCGATCATCACCAACCAATAAACTGGGCTCTTGTGGATGGAAATTATAATTTTTTTTTTTAGTTAAGCCTATCTGTTTCTAAAATCAAAGTGTTAAGAAATATCTGAAATCATCACTACTGTTGCTGTATAGGAAAATTCACCTGCTTATACTGGCCCAGTAAGCCTCAACCTCAAAAGCACTTGTGCTGAGAATCCACAACTCTGGATTCTGTTCCACACAGAGGAACCTAGGCCAGAGTGACCTTGTCACATTTCTCATTATTTTCACTCTAGTTCAGTATCAGAAATAGTTAAATACTTGCATGGGTATACACGTGAAGAATATCTCTATTCATAGAGTTAATAATAAAAATCAGGATTGTCACTTCTGACTAATCAGTAATAGAAATCAGATTTATCCTTCACCTTGAAATGGCAACAAAATGGGGCAAGCTATATGAAACAATGGCTCATACTGGACATCAGGCAACAAAGATGAAAGCTGCCTAACAAGTGGGAAACCAAGATGTTCACTGTAACTTCCCAGCTCATTGACTAAAGAGGGCTTTCAGGCTGTAGCCAGGGAGAGGGAATCCAGACAAACCCTCACAGTCTCTTCAACTAAGGAGACAGAGCTAGATTCCAAAGAGGTCAAAAAAGCTAGTTTTCAAGCCCGGAATGGTGGCACATGTCTGTAATTCCGGCACTCAGAAGGCTGAGGCAGGAGGATCACTGCAAACTCAAGACCAGCCTGGGCAGCAAAGTGAGCTCAAGGACAACCTAAACAACATACATAGTGAGACCCTGTCTCAAAAAGACAAAAAAAAAAAAAAAAGCTAGTTTTCTAGTATCTGGGTGAATATGAATTAGAATGTGTCTGTGAAAAAACCACCCAAGGGTGGGACAAGAATCAAGGCTGTTTATTGTACAAACATCCTTGAAAATACCACCCGGAGGAAAAGGTTGTCCTTGCATCTATGAGAATGGTATGCAGAAAAAGTGGAAGAACTAGGGAAAACTGCCTCCCACTATTATTCACTCTTCATTTGGAGGTGGGGGTGAGATAGGATCTCCCTTTGTGGTTCAGGCTGGCTTCAAACTTGTGGCAATTCTCCTGCATCAGCCTTGAGTGGTGGGATTAAAGGCATGTGCCACCATGCCCAGCTCTACCCTTCATTTTTGTACCATTCTGACTTTGGGGAAATGTTTCCAGGATACATCTGACTAATCTATTAGCAGAATATGTTCAGCTTGTCTAATAGAGAATTTAATTAAGGCCATCAGCAAGAGGACTGCAAGTGGCAGAATGAAGCCAATCTACAATAACTTCAATTATGGCTCCTGGGCCCCACACCCAAGCAGCCCAATAAACCCTATAAACCACCAGTGTCTACTATAGAAAGCCAGGTGGCTTTCTCCTCAGTGTCCACACTGTTTTCTCCTTGGCCCAAAGAAGTACCCCAAATACAGCAGTACACATTAACACCAACTCATCCAGGACATACAAGGAGGAAGTTTGGGGCAATTCTATTATCCATCACCAGCTCTGCTGATGACCTGATGATGATGTCATTTATCTTGCAGCTAAAATCAGGAACAGATTCTGTACCGTTTTTTCTATTGGGTGATTTTCATACAAAAAAAGACTGCTCACAGGGTATGTATGAAGAATAAATCATTTATCCCTCTAGAAAACTACCCCAAAATATCAAACATGGTCTCACTGTGTTGTGATTTCTGCAACTCACTGATGGAACTATCATAGGAATCTAAGTTATATAGAATTTAATATACAGTCAGAGTGGGGTTGGCTCTCAAAGTACAAAAATAAAGACATCAGAATTGTAGCTGGAGGCACATTTGAAGGTCAAGCCTGAAGGTCAGGCCTCCATGCCTCCCTAAGGGGTAAACAGTAACTTGAGATTATATTGTCACTAGCATCACCTGGCCCAGTAAGTACAGATAGGCATCAGCTGCCCAGGTGGGTGACCAGAGCATCTGTACCCATCCCTTCCCTAAAATGCCTTTGTTCTTTCCAAGTACCCTGCTACATGATTCATTTTCTTATTGGATCAACATTAGCTAAGCAGCTACACTTATAATCCTATAGGTTGATTATAGTTAGAACCACATTGTACTCAGATTGTGACTTTGCTGTATAAATCACTCCTGACAAAGGGCCTCGATGGCAACCCACTTTCAGGAGCCCTCCTGTCTCTTAGGAGCTCTCTCTCAATAAACTTTTCCTACTCTTAAACTCCACTATCCCTTGGAATTCATTCTTTGATAATCAGGGGACACAAACTCAGCACATCTGACATCTAGCAGTTTGGGAGTTATATTTCTCTTATATCCAAACTTTAAGGGGAACCAGACAAATCTACAATTATAGGTAGATACTGCAATAAACTGTTCTCAATGAATTGACACAAAGAGAAATTGAGAATACAGTAGACTTAACATCAACAACCAATGTGGTCTTATTAACATTTATAGAAAACTTAACATAGTAACAGCAGAATGTACATACTTCTTGGAGAAGGAACATTTACTGAGATAAATTATATTCTGGACCATAAAAGAAATCTTGATAAATGTTTAAAAATTCAAATTATGTAAAATATATTATGTAATAAAAAATAAGAAATCAATAAAAGAAAGATCTCTGGAGAATCCTCAGATGATTGGATACTATGTAGCATACTTCTAAATAACTTCTATATCAAAGAAGAAATCAAACAAGGATTAAAAATAATTTCAAACTGAAGAAGACACCTACTTCAGAGGAAATAGCACTAAAAAATAACTCTACATTAGAAATAAAGCGGTTCTCAAATCAATGGCTTCAGCTTCTACCTTAAGAAACTAGAACCCTGCCTTGCACGTGCCTGGAAGGAGGGCCCCCTGACACGGGGAGCCATAGGTGGGGAGCGGAAGACCGGCTTGCTCCCTGCCTTGTAGGCGCCCGGAAGGAGGGGCCCAGGCACACGGGGAGCCACGGGCAGGGAACGCTGGTCTTCCAACCGGCTTGTTCCCTGCCTCGTAGGCACCCAGAAAGAGGGCCCCCGGTGCACGGGGAGCCTCGTTGCGGCGAGTGCTGTTGGGCGCCAGCCCTCAGGCCGGCCGCCACCACTCAATTGAGAACTACCATGACACAGAGAAACAATGACACAATTGGCCCACCATGCACCGGCTGCAGATGCCCACCCACAGACGTGTGTGAATTATTCAAACATGGAGAAACCCCTGGGAATACATGCCATACAATGGGTCACTCTTGCTCCTGCCATTGAGAACCAGCAAGGTCCAGAATCAGCGGAGGAGCAGCTGCTGAACAAGGACTTGGAGAACATGAGAATGCAGACTAAGCCTGAGGGGTCAGAGGTACTGTGGACTGGGGTCACAAGAGCTGCTCGGAAGCTGTAAACCAGGAGGACCTTGCACAATACATGCGGAGACTCCCTGGAAGCCATTCTTCCCCTGACAGTACAGGCTGTGGTAGAGCACTGGAGAAGTCTGCAACAGGATTCCTGCTGCCTGTGCTGACAGTTGGGGAGAGGACACTAACTGGTTGTGGGGTCCCAATGCAATGGGAGGCTGGAGAGAAAACGCTACAAAAAATGGCTTTTGCCCCAGATGGCTCACTTGATTTTTGACAACCCTTAGGCTGTAACTACTTGTTAGATCCTTCTTGCGTATCTGTCTTCCTGAGAAACCACTTTGAAGATACCACCATGTATTACAGCAGTCATTGATATTTTCCTACTAATCTAGCCATAACTCTGCAATGTTTGTATTGTTCCTATCCTATTTCATAAATGGATGCATGTCTATCATGTGTTTCCTACAACAACCATTGAGAAAAGTTAATGATTATTCAATAGGTCACTCATGTATAGCTCTATTTATTTTCTTTAGAAGCCACTTTGAAGATACCAAAGTATAGTACAACAACTATTGATAATCTCGTACCTCTTTAGTCTGTAACTCACTATTATTTGTCTATTTGTTTTCCTGAGAAACTAACTTGTATATAACAATATGTAAAATAATAACCATTGATAATTTCCTACCACTTTGTCTTTAATTTGGTAAGCCCCCCATTATTATGTTATCCTTCTTTTACTCTTTAAAATAAAAAAAATAGAAAAAAAAGAGCAAACTAAACTAAGCAGAAGAAATAAAAAAGACCAAAACAAAAATCAAATAAAATACAAAACAGTAAAACAACAAAGAAAAATGAATTAAACCAAAAGCTCATTCCTTGAGATGATCAGTTCAGTTGCAAAATCTCTAGCTAGACTGACAGATTAAAAAAAAGAAAAACAAGGTGGGGCAGGGGGGAGAAAAAACAAAAGAACATGCCACACATGTCCAGCACCAGGAATGACAGGTGATGCCACTTCAGAGTCTATGGCAAAGAAAAATAGGAGAATACCATAAGCAATCTTTAGGCGAATAAAATTTGGCAATCTAGGTGGATGATCATTCTCCTCAAAACAGATAATTTTTGAATAGTACCTACTGAATAAATTAGTACCTATTAAGAAAATTAAAACTGCAGCTAAGCTAAGGCCCAGATAGCTTCACTGATGAACTCTCCCAAACACTTATGGAAGAAATAAAATTCAACACAATCTCTTCTAAAAAATTTATAAAAGAAAAAAATTTTTTTTTCCACCAGAAGATTTTTAAGGGCTTAAATCAACTTCCAGATAATTCAAAGATTTCTTAAGGAAGTGCAGAATACTTCCAGGTATTGTGAAATCTCATCATCCTCCTGAAACTTGAAGGTAGCATCTCACTCTTGCGATAACTGAAAATCTCAGTTGAGCCCTAGCAGATCCAGGAGCAGGGCCAGCAACAATGGCTGGACTGGCTGCTAGAATAACAATACAAGCACTGCTGAGCTACCTGTAGAAGCACAAAGCGAGCTTTAGCCAACGCTCCAAACAAGTGCTTAACTTCACATATTCATTTTTTTCACAGCTGAGACCCAGAAGCTATCATGATGTAGACTATAATCTATGTTTTATTTCTCTATATATTGACTACCTAACTTTGAACAATAATTCCACCTCTCTGGGTTTATTTTTTTATCTGTAAAAATGGGGAAATTCATTTATTTAAAGATGGATATGAGAAGAGATTATGCCACATGAAGTTCCTATAAAAAAGTATCCAACAAAAACAAGCTTCTTCCTCTCTTACTTTACTAAATGTGCACAAAATAACCATTTGGAGAAAAATGTTGGGTTCTTTCACATGCATAACAACAACTTATGAGAAAGATACTCCAATTTTTGTTGGCTGAGAAAAGAAACTGAACACATAATCTATGTATCAACATCTAGAATCATTCTTTTAAAACTTACCTTAGCTTCATATTTTTCAATATAAGCATTAAGTATCCCAGCTTTAAAAAATGGTATCTATAAAAAAAATTCAGATTTAGATTTAACATCAATATATAAATAATGTAACACATACAGATTTTAAGCATAATAGAGCAGAAGGTACAAAATAATGCCATCATTCTAGCAGCACCTACACCTTCAATAATAGTGATTACTACCTTTCTGAGCTAGACTGTGGGAACAGTTTGAAAGCAAAAAAGCCTCTCTGGCAGTAGCATAATTCCAGAAGCCATATGAAGAAAAGGCCAATTAATCTTACATGTAAATATTTTAACAGCTCTCTTAATATACAATAAATGCTTAGACACGAAAATAAGGGAAATGAACTCACATGGATGACCAAGTTCAAAACACCTAAGTACTCCAATTTATTCAGGAAAGAAATACAAATTAAAAGGAAAAAAGAAAAATTAAAGAAAGATTATTATTATTATTATTATTATTTTGGTACAAGAAAGATGTTTTTAACCTACCAGATTGGCAAACACAAGTATCTAAAGCCTGCTAATCTAGTATTTGTGAGGATACAGAAAAATCAATTCCCTCACGATACGTGCTGAAATGTAATCCAGCACAAACTTTCCAGACAGCAGTTTAGCAGTATCTGTACTCTAAGATGTGCTGCAATGTCATTTATAAAAACTTAATCCTTATGAACTATAAACTACCAGACCAAAAAAAGTGATATAATTTCAGTGACAGTTTTTGAAGCACTGTTTGTACTGGAAAACAGTGAAAAACACAAACTGGAAACTCAGATGTGCATTAAAAATATTAAATAAATTACTGTACAACCATATAATGAAGTATTTCAGAGCCTTAAAATAGGGAGCATATATGTACTAATATGGAAAGACATCTAGGAGAGGCTGTTAAAGAGCTTGTAACAGGCAAGTTTCAAAGTAGTATGTATAATAATTGAGAATTTTTTTGAGACAGTATCTTACTATGTAATGCAGGCCAGCCTCAAACTCAGAGCAATCCTCCTGCCTTAGCCTCCCAAGTGCTAGAATTACAGGCATGCACCACAACCAGCAAGAATCCAAGTTTCTACTTCAATCATTTTTGTAAAAATTTTTACAGAATGTAATAGCTTTTTTAAAAAGCAAAACATATTAAAAAAATATGGCTACTTTTCTCTTATTCTTTCCAAGATTAGGATACCTGAATTTGCTAGAATTCTAAAACAATATCCTCCTTATTCCATAACAATTTTCAGGTAGAAAAAATACAGCTAAGAGATATTGGTCTATTTTTTCACCAACACTTTATCTATCTTAAAAACTATATTAAAGATAAGAAGATATGAACACTGCCAATTTCTAGAAGAACAATAAAAGAACTGACTTAATGTATTGTTAGTAAAGGTTAATTTTGATGGACTCTGAGCATTCAAAATCTCAGAAAAATAGTATTTTCAGAAAGATTTCTTTTGGCAAAAATCTCAGGATATAATTTTTATAAAGATTTTTGGCACTTACTTATCATTTCACTTATATCCAACATTAGGAAATATGTTTCTAATTTCACTAAGTATAAAAATTTTTAAATAAAATTTCTAATTAAAATAAACATTGACCTGAGTTCTTTAAAAAGAGTTGATTTATTGAAATGAAGC